AAAGCATGTGAGGCAGAGGTGTATATGTTGATATGTGAAAACACGCACAATATATCAAGTGGAAAAAGCAAACTACAAACAACATATGCAGTGTGATTTCATTTATGTGAAAGGAAGTATTTAAACCTACATAAGCATGTGTCTCCAACTCTGCTGGCATGGGAAATATCAGAAAGGACACTTCCAAACTGTTCTGGTAATGACCTCAAGGGCTGAGACTTGGGGGAGAGGATAGAGAACTGGGGAGATTTCCTTCATAAACTTCTATAACATTTAAAATTGTTTTAAACATCATACATTACTTTCATCATAAAAATTAATTTTAAAAGGCTAACACATTTGTTCAATGCCTGTAATGTACTGAATACATGAAATGATATGCTTTGTGACAAGGAAGGACAGACTTAGCAGAGAAATGGTTCAAGGTCACATGACATCCACAGTCACATATAGAAGAAACTGCAAGCTCCTTGAAGACAGGATCAGTGACATGTGGGTCCCTGTCAATCCCCAGTATTTATCACTGTGTTTGGTACATAGGAAGTATTCAGTTCAATAAATATTTGCTGGGTAAATGGGCGAATTCATGAGTTAAGGCATACATTAAGGACCAGAAGCCACCTGTGACTCAACACCCCTGCCACCCTTCCCCTTCCAGGAGCCTAGATTTGTTCATGTGAGAAACCAAACTTTAGTTTGGATGCTCTGTGATCTCCTCTGGATGCATTAAACTTACCCTGTGGCTAAGTCTATGTGAAAAGCATAGACATAGGCACCTGGTGGGTGTTGGGGAAATATCACTTCTGAGCCCCAGTCTTTGCAGGAAAGGTAATCTCTTAAAGAGCTACCATGTTCTTGGTGCCTTGTGGCTCCCATGTTGGAGTTTTGGGGACAGGGGCAGGGGAGGACATTCACTATTATATTAGTTTCAGGTGTACAACAGAAAGGTGAGACATGGATCTTACAAAGTGATTCCCCTGCTAAGGCTTGCACTCACCTGGCGCCATACCTGGGGATCACAATATTATCGAACATATTCCCTATGCTGTACTCTCCACCCTGGTTACTGTTTTGTAACTGCCAATTTGTTCTTGTTAATCTCTCACCGGCTCCCACACTGTTTAGAAGACTGTTTTCTAAAGACGTGTCCAGCAAAGCCTCCTGGTGTGAAATGAAATTAGTAACTGCACGTACTAAAGTGCATTCCCATAAACACATTGACCTCACAACCCAAACAGGAGGGTAGCCAAGCACAATCTGATAGGACCCTCTTTGCTTGTTAGCTAGATTTGTTTTCTTACTTCAACTAAAACACTCTTGTTTCATTAAAATCAATGATGCTCACAAATAAATGATTAGGTTTTTAGTTTCACTCAGTTCCATTTCAAATTACTGATCTTGCCTTGTTCTAAACTGTCAGATATTGGCACACAACGGACTATCTGGCTTTCAAAATTGATCATCGCTCTCTCCTGTTGTAGACATGCGCAGCGTTCTGACACTTGGCTGTGACACATTTTCTATGTCATCCGTTTTAAATACCTTCGAAAGGAAAGCTGGTTTCAGGTTTCTGAACTTTTAACCTTTCAAGTTTTAAAGCACAAATAATCACTACCGCTTCCCTTGCGTTCAGGTGCATTTCCAAACCATTTGCCCTTCACTGCCAAAGCTCCAGCCTCACCACCCTTCTTTCAGCTCCTCCAACTTGCCAAGGTCTCTCCTGCCTCAGGCCATTAGCACATGCTGTGTTCTCAGCCCAGAGTGTTCTGCCCTCTATTCCTCACTGAGCCGACTCTTATTTGTCCTTCACATCCTATATTCAATATCAGTCCTTCCGAGAGGTCTCACTGGCCCCCATTGTCACCTGTTGGGAACCTTACACCTGGCTTCTAGCTAAAAACATTGCATTGATTACAGGAACCTGTGCGCTCCACGAGCCAATCGGCTACAGGTACATGAGGTGTGCATGCGCTCCACAAGCCAATCAGCTATAGGCACATGAGGTGTCCACGAGTACCAGTTGCACCCAAGTAATCAATAAGCAGGCCCTTCTTTGTCTCAAGCTAGCCAATAGCAAGCAACCTAATCTCTCCCTCCCCCCCTATATATATACCCAGTTCGGAAAAATAAAGTTTGCAGCTTGATCAGAATCTTTTGTCTTGCTGCCATTCTTCGCGCCTCTTGTCCCCCCAACTCATTTGTTCTAGGTAGGTGGTCGAGCCCCAGTTGATTGCTCCGCGGGCCGGAGCAGTCACCTGTATCTTCTTCTGCTTTTTTCTCTGTGTTTTTCCCCTGTAGCACTTACCGGACTTTATATTTATATATGCATTTGTGTTTACTGTTTTAACATCTACTCCTTCATTGGACTATAACCTCCAGCTGATGAGAATCATGACTATTTCACTGACCAGTGCTCATCTCATTAAATATTTGTTGGTTAAATAAAAAGCAAAGGAGGAAGTAAATTTTATTTACCCTTTTTCATCCTTTTTTCATAAACATAAGTTGGACAAATAAGTAAGAGAGGAGCACTCAGTCCCCACCTCACTCATATTCAAGGCAGGTTGTCCTAAAATGAGATTTTGAGAAGCTTTATATTAAGGGGAAGGACAGGATTTGGCATATGGGAGATTGCATTAGATCCCAAGTAGAAGAGGAAAAGGTGGTATTCTGAAAGGGGATAAAGGGGTTAGAAAGCTAATTCTTTCAATGAAGCAAAAAAAGTGGGGCAGAGAACAGAGAGACAGCTGGAAAGGCTGGTGGTTAAAAGGAAAGTGAGGGAAACTTCACACTGGAATGGGAAGGCTGGGCCCAGGCTCATCAGGAGAGAAAAGGTTGGTTGAGGCATCAGCCTGGCTCTCACACAGGCTGAGTGTGATGAGGGATGCCTTTGTTCACAAGGAGTTTCAGGTGCGAAGTAAGCTCACCTGGAACAAAAGCTTAACTGGGAAATGAAGGCGAAAAGAGGAGGAAAGGTCGGAGGAAACAGACGAACAAATCCTATAGGCTGTTTCACAGTGATTGAGCATCCAGTTCTAAGTCTGAGAGATATGCTGTACATTACAGTATTAATGAGAGACCAGAAAGATGAATGTTACTGCCCTGGCAAACATCCAGGAAGCCCTCTAACCTGACGCTGTGGGATGGCTGGCCCTACATTCAATCTCTGATAAAGCCTCTATGTCTAAGAAAATGACAGTGAGCAATGAGAATGGAATGTGCCAGAGGCTCAGTTGTCCGGTTTCTGCTCTGTGTATCCAAGCCTACTGTGTCTTCCAGTGGATTCTCCACACCTACGATGGAATCTTGAGAACTGTGTTACTCTTGGTTACACTTGGGACCTGTATTTCTTTATAAATTGTCTAGAAACCAAATAGTTCGGTAACAACACGAGACCCCACAAAGTGTCAACAGAGGAGGCTGGACCAGAGTAATAATAATGGACAAGAGATAATATGTGTAGGGAATGGGTGGTATTTATTGAGCTCACTTTGTGGCAGGCTCTGTTCTAAGACCCTTATTCGTCTTCACCAAAATGACCTAAAATAGCTACTAGTATTATTCCTGTCTCCAGAAATGAAGGCTAGAGAGATTGACGTCATTCAGCAAAGTGCAAAAGGACTCAAACCCAACAGACTCCAGATCCTTAACCATTAGCTCCTTAAATTTGGATATATCTCACAATTTGCAAAGCCCTTTAAAGAAATAGAAATATTGTCTGATCCTCTCAACACTTAAAAGTGAGTGAGGAGCACGTTTGTCTCCGTTGTATAGGTAGGGAAACTGAGGTTCAGAAACATCTAATTTCTGGTGTAGGAAATCAACAGCACCAGTAACTCCCAAGGCCAGGAGGTGAAATCTACCACTCCTCACTCCTAAAATGCCACACGGACTCTCACTTCTGCTTTAGCAGCCTGGTTGATATGGATTAAATTACACCTGCACCATGAGATATGCAGAGGGATAAAGGCTGCATCTAGGGTTTATTGGGTTTGGCATGAAAGTCCTGATACTGGAAACAGAACATTATCTCCAGGCTGAAATATGATTTCATGCGGCCTCACTGTCAGGGAGTATCCCTGGGAAGAGAACAGGAGGAGGAGAAGCTGACCAAGTGAGAGGTATTTAGCAGCCAACTCCAAAAAATTATCCTTTCTTAGAGCCTATCGCCCATCAGAGTGGCCCTGCTGCAGCAGCATCCGGGGAGAATGACCGAAAAGCATGGCAGGATGGATGCAAAGACAGAGGAAAGGAACCCCAGTCAGAACCCACCAATGAAGCCATTTATTGTGTCTTTCCTGGTTAACGCCCCTCTTACCTTCACTCTCTCCCCCACCCCTCCCATACCGTGCCCACGGTGCCAAACGTTGTCATGCAACGCCCAGCCACCGTTCCTACGTTTCTTCCTTCCTCCTTTCTCAATTACTCCAGGAACAGATAAATTATTTGGGGGGCTGGGGGGGGTGCTCCTGATGGCTTCTAGCAGCCGGGGCATTACAGCTCTGCTTCACATTGCCCACTAACTCATCATCCTTCCATTACACGCTTCACACCGAACCACAGTTGCTTCCAATCCGCAGTGACCCACCCTCTCTTTAAAAAAAAAAAAAAATTAAAAAAAAAAAAACAACACTGCAGTCCAGTACTGCTAAGATGGTTAGGAATCGGAAGTGATGGCTCTTTCGGCCAACTCCCTGAGAGGTGGAAGCTTAGGGCAGGGATGGGGAAGCCGAGAATGTACTGCCCTCCTTGGCAACATCGTCCCCTCTGGAGGACCTGCTGGGCAAGGGACAGCCGCAGAAAACTGCGCATCTCAGGGCTCCTACCCCTTGGCTCTTGCGCTGCGACTGCTGCTATAGAAACACCAGGCGTACACATGGAGCTGGAATTAAACACCCATCCGGGACAGGACGGAGACTGCTCGGCCTGCTGCCTCGGTCGCCATGGCAACATGCCGGGAGCAGGGAGGCGAGCAACTCGAGAGGAGAAGGGATACTCACTCCATCTCGGGGCTCCGGGCTGCGGGCTGCCTGGCGCGCTGCTGCGTGGCTCACTGGCGCTGCTCACATCTGCGGGAGCCTGGTGGTCTGGCCAGCGGGCTGTGCGGTTCGCGAGGTGGAGCCGGGAGCTTCTCCCCTCCCCGCCCGCACCCTCTCCTCCCCTTGAGGGTTGAAAGTAAACGCTCAGGCTCTGTCAGCTCCCAGCCTGCGAATAAAACGGGAAGCAATTGGATAATGTTGTTCTTTGGGCGCTAGACAAGCCACTCCACTTAAGTGTTTTGGGGAGGGTGCGCACTGGCAGCTGCGCCCCGGGCGATGTGGCCACCGGCGCTCAGTGCCTGGCGCCAGGTGCGCCGGCGGCTCCCCTGGGACGTACAGCACAGCCCTGAGATGCCGAATCGGGTAGGAGGGGGAGATGAGCCACTGTGGAGGGTGGCGCAACCGAAAGAGTGCAGGGAAACCGTGGAGTCATTGGCAAGGTTGCAGCTGTCGCCGTTTGGAAGTTAGAAGAGAAAGAAGTGTCTGGCCTCCGCAAACAGCAAGTACTGCCCCCAGTGGGCTGGGCACGGGTGCGGAAACGCCATTGTGCCAGCCCGGCGGGCATCGGACTGAGTTTCCCAAGGAAAACTCAGCTGCGTTGCGGCGCGTTAATGCAGCGTTTCATCACTTTGGCGACCCCACGCCCTTCTTATCATTCCACATTCTGCGTATTCCCGCCTATCAAAAGACATGTCCTCCCTAGTCCGTTCTTTGAAAACAATAGATATATTGAATATGGTTTATCAAATTACCAAGGCCCCACTGCAGAATTATAAATCTCCCTGGGGCATCTATTCTCTCCCTACACCTGCCTCTGAAAATCCCCTACTCCTAAAGGTTTCCAGAGTGGGACCCTGGCTCCCACCCAGGTGGCCTGCACCTGCTGCAGTGAAGAGTAGATGGTACAACTGTCAGGCTTCATTGTCCCTTACCGCCCAGTTCCTGTGTGAGCTGGTGTCTGCTGGGTGCTGGGGATGACACCCAGGCATAGTTGCAATAGCCCCTGCCCCAGTGGAGCTCACAGATTAAAGTAGGAAAAAAAAAAAAAAGCACAGAGGAAGAGGGAAATAAACAGAATCACAGGCTGAAAAATATTGCTTACAAAAATCGAGTAATAAAATGTTGTGATGAAGGTTTTAAAATTAATGTGTCATGCTAATTGCACAACTCTGTATATACTAACAAGCACTGGATTCACTGGGTGAATTTTATGGTAGATGCACTTTATTCTATCTTAAAGTTGTTTTTTAAAAAATACTCCAATGCAGAATAACAGGGAAGTGGCCCCGCCACAGTAGAGTGTTCAGGAAAGCTTCTCTGCCCCGAAAAGGTGGGTCTGCAAGGGGAGGGGGGCAGAGATGTGCAAGCCACAGAGGAAGGGCATTCTTCCCAGCCAACAGCCTGTCTAGTGGCTCTAGTGACTGGAAGGAAACTGGTGCAAAGTGTTCTGGGTGAATTCACGGCTCCTCCCTTCCCTCTGGAAAGTGAGCCTCAAAGTCGAACGCAATGAAGAGTCCCAGAGCTGTTTTGTGGAAAGAGATTCTGGGTCATCTCCAGGTTTTCATCACAGAGTCTAGTGTGAACTGGAAGATCAGAGAATCGTCCCTCAGCCCATGACCCTCTCCAGCTCCCGTCCTCTCTCTACTCCCCTTCATAGGCAAGCCACTTCAAAGGGTATCTCACCCTGTACTCACCATTTCTACATCCTCACTGTCTTTACGCCTGTAGCATATGGGATTAAGTTCAGCTGTGAGCAATTATGAAACTTAACTAGAAAGAGATTTGTTTTTCTACCTCTGAACAGTTCAGAGATAAGCAATCCTGGACCAGTTTAACAGCTCTCAAAGAGTGCAGTAACCCAGGCTCCTTCAAAATGTTTCACTGTCATTTCTGGTCTCCCTTCCTAAAGTTACTTCATGGTCCAAGTTAGCTGCTCCAGCTCCAGCCATCATGTCTGCATTCCAACCAAAACAAAGGTGAAAGGAGCAAAGAAGGGGCAAAGGAAGCATGCCAGCTGCCTCTTAAGGAAGGCTTCCAGAAGCTGCCTCAGGACACCTTCACTTGTATCTCTTTAGCACATGGTCATATTTAGTTTCCGAGGACACTGGGCAAAGCAGTCAGCACTCACCATCGTCGTGAGCCTAGCCATGACGATGGAGGCTCCATTCCTAGGAAAGAAGGGGAAGTGGATGTTGGAGGCCAACCCGTAGTCTTTGTCATACTCCTCATCCTTAGCATCCTAGCTTCTGCCTCCCCCATGCCACGGACCCTGCTCACCAGAGTCATCAATGCCAGATGCAGTGGGCATGTCCCATTCCTCTCTTGCATGACTTATGAGCAGCATTTGACACTTTGATGACCTCTTTTTGTATTTAGCTTTTTTACTTTAAGTTGGGCTTGTTGAGGCATAAGTTACATACAGTTGAATTCATCCTTTTTAGGGGCACAGGTCTGTGAGTTTGGATGTGTTATACAGTCATGTAACCACAAAAATAGTCACAATGTCGAATGTCGCCATCATTCAGTTTCTTTGTGTCCCTTGATAGACAACCTCCTGCTTCCACCTCCAGTCCCTAGCAACAACTGATCGATTTCTGTCCCCACTATTTTGCTTTCTCCAGAAGGCCATGCAAATGGAATCAAATGGTACACAGTCCTTTGAGTCTGGCTTATTTCACTGAGCAAATGCTTTTGAGAATCATCCATGTCATTGGGTATATAGATAATTCCTTTGTATCGCTGAGTAGTATTCCACTGTACTGATGTATCATGATCTCTTTATCCACCAGTTGGTAGGTATTTAGATTGTTTCTGGCTTGTGGCAATTACTAATAAAACTGCCACAAATAGTCATATACAGGTATTAGTGTGAACACACGTTTTTATTTCTTTTGGGTAGATACCTAGGGTCACTCCTTCCATCTCGAAACATCTTCTATGATGTCACACTGCTACAACTCTGTCCACCCCTTCTCTGCTCCTTGTCTCTTAAATGCTGGAGGTCTGCAGGGTCTAGCCTAAACACTCTTCACTTCTCACTATGCATGCCTTCCCCGAGCAACTTCATGTACTTCATGGCTATATTTAACCACTCGCATGTGCTGTCTTCCAAAACTAAATTTCCAGCCCACGTCACTTTCCTAAACTTCAAAACTGAATATCCAGCAGCCACTGTAACATCTCCATAAACACCACAAATCTAATGTGCCAGAAATTCACCCATCATTTTCACCTGTAAACCTCCTCCTAATAACCTACCAGCCTAACCTAACAATAGAGAAGGGAATGTCCACCCAGATCTGCACATCTTTGAATTCCCATATCTACTTAGCCAATGAGACTCATCAGGCTACCTTCTGAAGAGTCACAGAGCCCATTCACTTCTCCCTGTCCCTGCTGCTGCTGATAAACAGCCTCCTCCTGGTCCCCAGTCACATCTGGTTCTGATCCATTCAATTGAACAGCCTGAGCACTCTTCCAAAATCACAGATCTGATCATGCCATCCCCTTCCCTGAACACCTTTCAAGGGCATCTCTTAACTTTAACATAAAGGGGTTTTTTTTTGGATTTCCTATTTTTATAGGAATATATATTATTTTATTTTTCAATTACAGTTGGCATTCAATATTTTATATGAGTTTCAGGTGTAGCAAAGTGGTGGGACAATTATATGGTTTACGAAGTGTTCCCCCGGATCGTTCCAGCACCCACCTGACACATGCATAATTATGACAATATAATTGGTGGTACTCCCTGTGCTGAACGTTGTATCCCTAGGACTATTCTGTACCTACTGATCTGTTCTTCCTAACTTCTTCACCTTTTGCAGCCAGCCCCCCAATCCCCTCCTATCTGGCAACTATCAGTCTGTTCTCCGTATAAGAAGAAGGTTAGCCCTGGCTGGCGTAGCTCAGTGGATTGAGCACGGGCCTGTGAACCAGAGTATCGCGGTTCGATTCCTAGTCAGGGCACATGCCTGGGTTGCAGGCCAGTTCCCAGCAGGGGACGCATGAGAGGCAACCATACATTGATATTTCTCTCCCACTCTTTCTCCTTCCCTTCCCCTCTCTCGAAAAATAAATAAATAAAATATTTAAAAAAAAAGAAGAAGGTTAAATTGAATTGTAGGTGCATCCTAACTTTTTAAAAATAAACTGATTATTATTTTTTCATTTTATGTATTTTTTAATTTCTCAAGTTACAGTTTAATACACAATTTTCAAATGCAGTAGAAAAGTTAATTTGCAATGAAGGAAGTCATTCATTTTCTAGTGCTGGCTTATTCCTTATTAAGAATCATAAACACATCATCTTCTATATTAAACTATAGGAAAATATAACAGATTTTACAGTCAAACAGACTTTGGTTAAAATTTCACTTGTTCATTTACTAGCTTTGTGATTTGGGACCTATTACTTAATCTAAGTCTCAGGGTTTTTACCTATAAAATGGGGACAATAGTACTTATCTTTGAGGCTGGTTTTAAAATTAGATACAGTGTATATAAATTGCCTAGCCTGGTGCCTGGTACTTAGTAGATACTCAGTAAACAGTTGCTATAATAAGCTATTATTATTATGTTCATCACCACCACCATCATTATTACTACATTGTAATTTTCCTCTGAAATCTCAAACATTTTAAAAGATGTATCTTTATTTATCTTCCTAAGCATCCTTTTAAAGAAGTGAAACCAATACAGATTTAAATACTTAGAAGATCAATTTGTTTATCCTCCTTGATTAAATGAGAATATTACACTAAATGGTATATTTATTTATTCATTAAAATGATACAGATATGTCAATAAATATAGCATAGCTACAAAGTAGCAGGATATGACCACGTGGATCCATTGATCCACATTCTCTAATAGTTTATTCATTTAAGCTGAGCTCAGTGGCCACCACTTGCACACCAAATGCATATTAATATCTCTCAAACTTGGAAATCAATAACATAAAAACTCTACCTATCAGAAATTTAGTCTGGAACTTGAAAATAAATAAAACAATAATATAAAGTCTATGCCATAAGCACTTATTCTTAACCTTACTAGGG